ATCTTAAAGAAATATTAAAAGTTTATATTAAATCCTAATATATATATATATATATATATATATATATTTGAAATATAATATATTGTCTATTATATTATACATATATTTATCTATAAACATGTATTTATTTATAATATATTATATTAATAAAGTAGAGCCTTAGCATTAAGATAATTTACCTTGCAAAAAGATAAAATAAAAATTATAATTCATATTACAAATTGGAAAGGATGGAGGAAGAAAGAATGGAGGAAGAAAGAATGGAGGAAGAAAGAATGGAAGGGAGGAAGTTCTAAGGTACAATATACTTGCCCTTTTCAACTTTGGTTGCTTTCTATTTTTCTCTCACGACAAATTTCAAATCCTTGAATCCAATTGAAGTGCTTGTTTTTTCCACTTTATTGTATCCTAATGCCTTTCATATTCTATAAACTCCACAAATCAATAAATGTTCTTTCATTTTCCAAAGTCTAGGCCAATACTACATTAAAATCATCCCAAAAGTTCAATCAAATCTTTTTACATGCAACTTTATAAGAATTATTTATAATTTAATAACACAAAATCTTTGAAAGCAAGTAGTGGAAATTGGCTTTGGAGCAATTGATGTAAATAGTCCAATATTACAACAACAATACTCCACACATATAATAACAATTATAAGAATAGAAATAAATATCAAGGCTATTTAGTGGAATATTAAAGAGATGAATATAGCTTTGAAGAATGCTGCCTTGGAGATTGAAAGCGCTCTGTAGATTGGGATAACTTTAAAAATCAATCAAAACTTACAACTACAATTTTTATTTGCGAAATAGTTTAATTTATTTTAGTAATTTTATAATCATTTTGACATCACCAAACAAACATAATTCTATTACATATAAAATATGATTAATTCCACTCCAATTTTTGCTATTACCACCAAAATCTGCCATCTCTTCCATACTATCATAACTATTTGTTATATTTATTGTAATTTTTAAATTTTTTATTCCAATAGAAAAATTATTAATTAATTCTACAATATTTTTTAGTGAATTTATATATGAATAATATATTTTACTGATAAAAAATAATTAAACTTTTAATAGATAAAATTTGTGGTGGCATTAGCATATATATATATATATATATATAAAAGACTTCATCATGTTATTTATAAAATAAAATAAAATATCTTATTATTAATTTAATACTAATTAAATCTTTTTTCTAATATGTTTCCAAAATTTACTAAAAATATCACATTTTAACTGTTTATTTAGTTAAATTTAAAAATTAATACAACAAGATTTTTTTAATATTTAAAACTTATAAAATATTTTACTACCATTTCTTTTATTTTATTCTATGTATATGTATTTGAAAAAAAATCAATCACATCCTAAAATTTCAGATTGTTACATTGTTTTTTTTTTTATATTATTTTTAAGATATACATATCTATCATTAAATATGATATATTTACTATAATTAAATATTCTGATGACCGGATCTAAAACATTATGATTTTAGTCCAAGTGTATTTATTATTAATTAGGCAAAAAGATACAAATCTTCTTCTCTTAGTGCAATGAAACAAATTCAATCAAAGCAAGGTCTTGTAACCACTGACTTGAGGATATGGTAGATTTATATATATATATATATTATCCACCATATTCTGATTTATTGTCATCTTTTCCCATCTAGTGTCTCCATTATGATTGCAATGTAATGGTTTTTTGATATTTTTTGTATTTTATTTTTATTTTTATTTTTTGTAGATTTTAACTATATATATTTAATGTATCTTTAGAATAATTAGTTTTAATTGGATGTTTCATTTGATGATTTGATGGTTTAAATAAGCAAGATATAAATTGTAACTATATATATATATATATATATATATACACACACACACACACACATACATACATACATATGTATGTGCACCTATATTTGTTGAATTTTCTTGTTCTATTTTGTTCTTCGCATATTGCAGTTTGTTACAAAATTCAAATTTCAGTTACAACTCTTAATCTTGATTTGAAAAAGACAACAAAGCATGACATTGCAATTTCAGGTTGAAGCGGATACAAATTAACATTTGTGGTACTCAAAATCTTATTCCAGTTAAAAATCAATGTTATGTTCTATAATCCTCAAATGAAAATAGTAAAGACTGGAGGTTTCTTAAATATCATTGCAGGTTTAAATGAAATAAACACGAGTTTTTATTCTTTTTTCTTCTTTCTTTATATTAGTTTAATGTTTTTAATAAAAAGATGTCTTAATTTTTTGGCAATTAATGCTCCCCACTGTCCTTCAAAATATCCTTTTTTTTTTTTTTTTTTTTTTTTTTCTTCCACATGACGCTTCATAAAAGAGCCCAGTGTGACAAGACACTATGCCATGTCATCACCCCTCTGAAAGAAATCCTGCAAGATTACATACTCAGATATTTTTTTTATTACGTTTGGATGAAATTTGATGAAAATTTCTACGTTATTTTATGAAAAATATATTAAAAATGGTAGGCAAGCGTTTCTTATAAATACATTTTTATATACTGCTATTCAAAACCATAACTTGTATGTGTGCAGAAAGCATTTAGTTGCTTGTAAAATACCCACGTGTTAAATTTTCTACATACTTTTTATGTTCCAAAAGTTTCAAATTTTGATGTAAAATTAGATACAATTGCACTTAGACATGATTAGATTTTCGTGTTTGAAGGTTTCACTTCCATATTGGTTCCACTCTTACAAGACATTATATTTTGGTAATTTAAAAACACTATTCATAAAAACATCCCCCAATTTATTTTAATTTAGGCCCATAATTTCAATCAATATGACTTAAAAGGCAATTTGATGTTATTTATCACCTCCATGTTATAAAGCATTTTTAAAATTTTTTATTAAAGAAAAAAGCGTAAGACTTAAAAGGCAAACTTTTGAATAAATTTAGTTTCACGCATGAATTGTAAATATTGCTTGTTTTTACACATTAATTAAAGTCAATTTCCCACAACTAATCTTGAAAATATCACACAAAAACCTTATGTTAAATTGAAATTCATATTCACACACGCACACATTCACAAACACAAGCTTCATATCTTTTAGAAAAGCATAAAAACGAATGAGAAGATTCGATGATTCCATCCCCATTCCTCTAAAGTTTCTCAGATAATGAATAAATCGGCCGAATCGGGATCATAGAACAAATAGTAAAAAATATCCACTCCCTTTCTCCAGACAAACAAAACAAAAACAAAAAAAAAAACAAAAAAAAAAATAATGATGTAAATAAATAAATAATGTTGTAAATAAATAGTAAGACCGGCGCTACTAAATCCGAGGCCCGAACCCACTTCCCGAAGCACTGCCGAAGCACACACCAAGGCGTCTCCAAGGCTGCAGGTTCGGAGCTCGAATATCTTCGCTCGAAAAGTTGACGTGGCGCTAGAAACATCGAGCTGGCGTCGTGGGAAATGTCCATGTGGCAACAGAGCATTGAAGAAGCCGTGGGGGTGGGGTCGGGGATGGGTTTAAAGCGTGGCCGTGGATCTCTCTCCTTTTGTTTTTGCTGAGCGCGGGGGTATGGAGTTCAATGTGACGAAGTGTGCGGCATTTATTAATAAAATGCGCCTTTCCGTTCTAATTTCCCCCCTCCGTCCTCCTTCTCTGCCTCCATTCACACCTCTCAATCCTCATTCTCGCCTCCGACATTAATCAGCAGCAGCCAAGGCAAAAACGACGACGACGATGCCTGATACTCCCTCGACTACTCCGCCTCGCCGTTTTCTACTACTCTCACTTCTTTAGCATGTTGAGAGAGCATTACTTACCACTTTGAGGAAGGAAAAAAGTCAAGTGCAGTGCCCATATTAGCCCTTGAAGTAGCAGCAGCAGAAGAAGAAGAAGAGGAAGACATGTAAATGGATGGGTGATGGATTGTCTTCATAGGCTTTTAAGAATAGTAATGAGGAGGGAGTGGGGGGTAGGGCGGACCACTCATGGAGATGTGCGTAGAGGGGGAGAAGTTAATGGCTTATTGAAGGTGGGTACAGTGCCCCCCAACTGACTTTTTGATCATTGGGGGACGGTTCGAGTTGGGCACCAGATATTGAGTTGCGAAGCAGGAGGAGGAGATCATGAGCACAAATGCATGGATTAATAATATATGGATGAATGAGCGGACGAGTCCAGGGTGTTGAAAGCTGACCTAATTACTCCTTTTACCTACGCGTCCAACCCTGAAAAAGCAGTCTTTCTTACAGTGTGAGATCTTTTGACTGCACTGACCTCATGTGTGAGTGAGTGTGTGTGTGTTTGTGTGAGAGTGAGTGTGTGAGAGAGGGAGAGTGAGAGTGAGAGTAAGAGTGTCTGTTTGTGGTTGAAAACGCAAAAAAAGCTTGCAATTAAAGTGAGCTGAATCCAAAGCGTGGCATTGAATGAGTCAACCACCGAATTCTCACACACTCCTAGCATGTGAGAACAGACTGCGTCCTCCCTTACAGCACTGCCACCCCCCGCTTCACTTCAAAATCTCATCGCCTCTGGTTCACACACAGATTCAGCTCCAGGGTTTTCCCCTTTTTATTTGACGCTTATGGGCCAACCCGTTCGAAACGCAATCTCGTCACCTGCTGCTTGTAAAGATCGGCTTCAATGACAAGATGGAGGTTAATGAATAAGGCCAATAAATATTTCCTTCTGTTGAAACTGTAGTGCAGAGCTGAACTGTGCATTGCCCTGAAGTCATTTTTAGAAAAATTACCGAAAGAGACATGAGAAATGTTTCTTTTCGGATATATATATATATATATATATTTAGCACTTTTTTCCCTTTCGCACAATTGGAGGAAAAAGCACTCCTCCGTGCAGCCCTGAATTATGGGCTTCAAGTAGCGTCGCGCTGCTGACACGCACGAGCAAGAGCTCTTCGTTCATCCTTCGTTCGTGGGAAGCGACGGAAGCGGGAAAAAAAAAAACTTTGGAGAGGGAGGGCTTGGGATCATTGTTGCGCCCCAGGTGGGATGGTGCAGCCTGGATTTTGAGCTTCAGGGTGTGTATATGGTCCTCACAGCCCTCATTCAGGATAGTGTGTGGTCTCTTCGATTGTCTGGCTGCTGGGCTTGGCTCACCTGAGAGCTTCGTAACGTAACCGCTTGTGAGGTCTAGAGGTAGCAACCAGAAGCCAGCCGGAAGCCAGTGACATGCGGAGAATCAGTTTCAAGGGGTTCAGTTGTGCGGCTGAATTCGTAGTGAGAATTTGAGAGTTTTCTGAGGTTTTGTCTGCGTGCATGCGCGTGTCTGCCACATTTGTCTTCGTCTTGACATTCCGATAGTGAGGGCAACAGTGATTTGCAGTGGGTTTCTGATTTTTCGTATAATGTGGCAGTGAGATCGCTCTGCTGTGGCATGCGGAGGCGGGCATACTTGTGAGAGACGCCGATGAGGCGGAGCTTCGTCGGGAAGTTTGTACGTAGTTGGAAGGTTTGTCCGTCAGTGAGTTGTGGTCACCATTCCCGGGATCAAAGCTCGACGCAGTCCGCCTTTGGTTTCGCGATCTGATCGAAGATCACGACGGCGAAAAACTCTCTAGCACCAGGTACCCGTCATGTGGGTATAATTGTGAGATATCTTCTATTAATTCTAGTGGCGAAATTTGACAGACCGCGACCGCACCGACCATGGCATGTGAAGGCGGCATGCGAGCTCTTCGTTCGCGGGCGTTTCCTTTCGCAGCAGGAATTACATCATCTTTCCCGGACAATGTGAGGCAAACGAGAGCAGTGTCGAAGCGATCGGCTACCGATGACGCCAATGACATTGTCCTGCAACCCAGGAAGAGGGCTGTACAGCGGAACGGGAAACACGGTCCTCTTACCGACATTTCGAAACAGGCCAATGCTGCTTCATCTCCCTGCTTCGTGATGGACCGAATTGACTCCACCAAGGGTCAAGTCTTGAAATACAGTCAAGTTGTCGTGGGAGATGAAAACACTTACTCTCTCGGCAGCGGACAGCTGTGTGTGATGAGAAGCGATACGAACGCAGTGAAAATTGAGCTGCAAGAAGCTTCATTGGAATTCCGACCTCTAGACGCCGAATTAGAGTCCGGCCCAGAGTCGGAGAACAGTTCATCAGCGATAGGATCTGTGGAAAGACGGACTGCGCGTAACCACTTTTTATCCAATGTACCTGATGCCCGAGGGGAACGAGACGGCCTGTTCGATGACGAAAGCTTCTTAAGAAAATCATCTTCGTTGAGCGGATTGGCCTGTGTAGACATCGACACTGATCTTTTAGATCCCAAAATGTGTAGCTCGTATGCCGCAGACATTTACACGCACCTACGCATGGCTGAGGTGAGCATTTCCCTCATGTTTTGAACTTCTTGTGATACTAAACTCTTAGTCGAACTTCAGTATTCTTTTGTTTAGTTGTTACTACCGCCTAAAGTCTGTCCCTGTTTCGCTGTTCCAGATCAAACGAAGGCCAACTACAGACTTCATGGAAGTCATGCAAAAGGACATCAACCCAAGCATGAGGGGAATTCTTGTTGATTGGCTTGTCGATGTAGCTGAAGAGTATATGTTAATGCCAGACACGCTTTACTTGGCGGTATCATATATCGACAGGTTTCTTTCCTTTAATACCGTCACACGTCAACGGCTCCAGCTTCTAGGGGTATCTTGTATGCTCATTGCTGCAAAGTATGAAGAAATTTGTGCTCCGCATGTTGAGCAGTTTTGCTATATTACGGACTACACTTATCAGCGTGAAGAGGTAGATTAATACCTACTATGCCTCTATTTCATTTCGAGCTGATTGTGCTGACTCAGTGGGTCGTATGAGTTTCAAACCCTAATTATTGGCACATCACAATGTTGGCAGGTTCTAGAGATGGAAAGGAAAGTACTAATAGAGTTGAAGTTTGAGCTAACGACGCCCACAACAAAAAGCTTCTTGAGGCGATTCATTCGAGCTGCTCAAACAAATTGCAAAGCCTCAACTCTAGTCCTGGAGTCCCTCGGAAACTTTCTCGCCGAGCTTACGCTAACGGAGTACAGCTTTCTAGGATTTCTCCCGTCTATGGTAGCTGCATCAGCTGTCTATGTGGCCAAGCTTACTCTCGACCCGTCGACATGTCCGTGGGATGCGACCCTGCAACATTACACTGGCTACAGGGCATCTGAGCTTGAAAAGTGTGTAAGGATTATTCATGATTTGCAGCGGAACACTAAGAATTGTACACTTCCTGCTATTCGAGAGAAGTATAGACATCATAAGGTAATCCTGTTGTATTCACGTCATCTCACTCCTCACAATTCAAGAGATGCTCGTGTATGGTTACTTCAAAGCATGAGAGTCAGTGAGATGTGCCTGATCTGGTCTTTGTGGTCACGCAGTTCAAGTGCGTGGCAACTTTGACGCCGCCACTAGTTTTGACCCCTGAGTTTTTCAAAGATGCCTGATGTTGTCGACCAATGAGGCTTCCGTAATGCTACGAATCACCCCAACCGCAAGTTGCATGCCCTGTTAAAGGTAAGCACTACGTAAACTCTTTGTTTCCTGCTAAAGTTATCTGATTGCCTTTCTGAAGGTCATTGGGTCTAATCTGACTATTGTCTTGTTGTCATGCAGTTGAAGCGTGTGTAATGACTGGCACCAAATGACTGATTTGGGGTGACTAGGGATCGCCGATTAACCAAGGACCGTGGGGAAAAGAAGGTTTTGAGGTTAGGCAATGAAAGGACTTGTGCAGAGGTCCTGAAGCTGATTAGAGTAGGTTTTCACTGGTATTCTTCAAGGGTCTGTATTGTACATACGGTGTAACATACTGTCAGATGCCTTTGCCTGGCGCATGATTCCCTCCGGAGTAGGTGTAACATTCACTAAGCACAAATTTATGCTGTCCGAATGCGTGTTAAGTAAAGATCAACTGCGTGCCATCTTAGGTGATGACGGCTCAATGTGATCACTAGCTTCGCAGATGTAAGAGACAGGAATTCGTCTTTAGAAACTACATGTATTGTGCTCACTCTGAAGAATGAGGTTTTCAGGGAAAGTGTGCGTTGGTTTGCTCACTACCCCTTAGTATTCAGAATGACACTAAGCATCTCTTTCAGAACTTATTCGTAGAGCAGAAAAGTTACTAATACGCTGTCTGACACTCAAGTTGAATTGCCAGCTTCTCCAACGACTGTGCCGTCGGAAGGATGGAATTTTTCGTATAAATAGTAATTTGACATTTCCAAAATTGCAAAAAGAAAGATGAACTGACTCTTGTTCCCATGTCTGTGCAACTTTTTTGATTTTTGGAAGCTAGTTGTGGCAAGAATATCAGTAATCTACTTCGGTAAGTACATGTGTAAGTCATATTGTATTGCGTTCACGACATATCCACGTTGTGTTCAGAACACCAGTAGATTACCAGCAATTTGCAGGCATCTCTACAGTCTGGATCTTCACTCGCGTAATTCTTACAATACATTCAGAAGTTGAAATCTTAGATGTAAGACACGTAACCACACGTTCGGAAAGCAAAGAAGTTACACCGTGGCAGAGCATAGAGGCTCGTATAGTAGCAGGACACTAGAATGTGAATGGCAGGGCACTTGTCTGCTAAACAGCAAACCTTTAACTGCCTGGTCAGTTGCTTTTTGTGGATAATCCAGTTCTTACAAAAGGACTCCAGTCCCTCAAATTCCAATTCTCACACAAGAGGGTCACATCCTCAACCTCCTTCATCTCTCAACAGTGTGCTGTCCCTGGTAAGACAAGTGTCGTTGCTGGTCAAAGCCTTACAAGGAGTGTCCTGAGAGCTCCACTTGCATGTGCACTGCGGCCATGGCAGCCAGCAAGCCACGGAAAGTCAGTCAATTCCTAAGGCCGGTGCTCCCATGCTCTCTCCATAATGCCTGCTCTCTGCCCACTCAGAAGCCAGAAGCTTATCAGCAACCAAGTTGACAATTTCTATTCGCATCGCAAACCCTAAAGCCCAAGGACTAAACCCTATTTACATGCCTTCTAAAACAATGAGCTTCTGAGTGAGGTTAAGGTGCACCAATTTACTTCTGAGATGCTTGAATGAAACCATGACATGCTCTCTCTTGACCCACCTCAAAAACTTGGTTTTCGCAACATAGAACGGTGGGCCTGAACAAATCTTCAAAGAATAGTTAGCCTAAACATAGACTTTTCAGCTTGTAACTGTCTGTCAGTTTGAATGCCTTTTCTCAACTGCCAGAATATTAGGGCGGCCCCCTGGAGCTTTAATAGAAAAACCAACATTTATTTATGAGGCTTACTGGATCTAGTTTATCTGTACTTCTAAGAGGAAAGACTGTACGTTCGTGCCATTTGGAGAATGTGAAGTCTTGGCTTTGACTGGCTTCAAGGACCCAATTCACACGAGACCTTTCTGGCACTCTCCTCTGCCTCTGCAGCCCGGCTGTGCCCATGCTCTGATAAGCTTCTTCTGCTGCCGCTTTCTGAGCCATGGCCCCCCGAACGTACGCCGTGCCTGCTGCCTGCCTGCCAGGTATTGACACCCGTCTTACCACCCAAGTGTCGGGATCCATGAACGGGTTCTCAGCTGCGGTGCTCGTCCACGAATCCGTGTATTTCCCAGTTTTTGGCAGAACTGCCGCACATCACCGGTTTTTACAGTGGTATAAACAGGAGCCCATGATGGATATGTTCTCACCCAAGCATGAATCATAGACGTACTTTGGGAGGGGTCACTTCTGATCCCTCTTTTCATCCTCCCTCTTTCTCATTCTGCCCTTTCATATTCTTTCTTGTTAATCCTTAAGAGAGAATTTAGTTATAAAAAATTTATTATTTTTCTCAAGTGGATATATATATATATATTTTTTCTTTTTCTTTTCAATGATTTTTTTCAACCAATGTGCTTTTCAATTTCAAGTGGTAATTACATGTCATATCTTTGTTTGGCTCATATAATGGTATTAGAGTGGTTGATTTAGAGTGGGAATTTTCAAAAACATTATTCTATGATTCTTTGAGTTTTATCATATTTTGGGTTTCACCTTACAAACCAAACAGATTCTTACTTCATATATATATTTTTATATATATAGATGTATATTTTAAATTTACTTTTATAATTAGATTATTATTTTTCATAAAAAAACATCTTTTACATGTACTCAGATTGATAAAAAGAGAAAAATAAACCTACATTTCAAACTGGTTGTTTAGGTTAATTTATTCCAAACTTGAACCAAGTATTTTGATAAGTTGAATCCAGCAAATTCATTGGGGAATTTGATAGAAGAATATGAAACTCTGAATATAGTTATTACTTTCATATCTTTAAATCTCAACTTACAAAAATCAACGGCATCAAACATGTTCTTCTACAGATTACCGTCTTTAATTGAGCTCTGAAAAAATTGTGTGCAGATTACTTACAATTTGATCTTGAGTTATTTCAACACCATGATGTTTCAAAGCTTATATCCACTACTTGAATTTAAAAATAAAAATCTAGTGTGATGTTCAAAACCAAAGATTTTACTCTACACTAGTTATTATCAGCAGCACATTGATGTGAGTATATCTTGTCAAGACAGAAGACATCAAAAAAATCAAAGAAATATAAAAATGTAATTACATGACAAAGTGAAAGAGTACAAGATATTTGTAAATTGAACATATAATTTATGGTTTGGCCAAAGTTATCGCGACTAGTCTCTCTTGTGTGTTAGTCATGCCACTATTTGCTATACAGATATTTCACTGATTGCAACGCAATGTTAAAAAGGTTACTGGAAGATTGTTGGCCATCTAAATATAAACTTTAACCTGGTTTTATCTAGACCATTAGTTTGCATTGCCTTGAACCCAACAATCAATGCGGTTCTGAGCGTGTTCTGTCTTACTCCATTAATAGCATCAATCCTTACTTGCAGATGAACCTTTCCTGGACAAATGGGCATTTGAGCAACGAGAACGTTTTCTAAGTGAATCGAAATTGAAAAACAAAAATCCAGGGAGATATTTAGGGCATTGGTTTGCGTGTATTCCTGCCCTTGCTCAGGTGCGGCACAAGCAAGCAAGTTCATTGATCGTGTTCGGGCATATACCCAAACAGCATCAACCTTGTGGATTAAGTTTTATCATGGCAATGACTCTTGGAAGTCAATATCAGGCTTAAAAACCCAGGTCGTCATGCTCATCCATGCTTTAGCAGATTTTGTAACTTGTGGCATCATTGTAGCTCGTGTTTGTAGATCGACATTTATCCTTGGTTGATTGAGCTTGCAATTAAAATGAAACGGTATACTTCTCAAACAAACATGTTCTTCGGTTATAAATGTACAAAGTTCATATATCCTGGAATGATATGATTCTGGCGGTGCTTGATTGTTAGAATGCACCCGCACAACGGCTGTACTCTACGCATAGTGATCCTGTTTATCAAGTTTTCCAGTGTCCTTGTGGGTCTTGGTTAGCCTGTCACAAGTAATCTAAACTGTTGGGTTGAAAAGTATTTACTCAACTTACTCCTTGTACAGTAACCTTGCCGAGTGTTTGTTTGTTTCTTTCAACTTAGCATCATCTTCATCATCATCAAGAGAGAACTTTCTAGGATCTCAAAACAAGAGGTCATGACTCCGAGTGTGAAATCACTTAGTGTGATCCAATACGTGGAAGTTAATTAAAAATGCTTTTGTTATGGTATGTTCACCCTAATTCATCCAGGCCACATGCTCACTAACTCATGTCCAGTGGCCATGTTGAATCTGAATTGGAATCAGCTCAAGCGCTTATCAAGGTTGCTATCGAAAGCTTACAATTTTACAGACGAACAACTAGTTATTTCTCATGTCAACAGTCATTTCATCACGGAATTGTAAACAATTAGATTCTGAAGACAATTGGAAATTTGACTTGTCATACCTAACGTATTGTGTGCATCTGAGATTATTCTAGCTTGATTGGTGAAAGTTACATCTGACTATCTGAGAGTTCCATAAATTAGTCAGAAATGCGGGATTTATCAACATTGCAGAAATTCTTGCACATGTTTCTTACAGTACTGCTCTTGTATGAGTGCTCTGACATCTTTCTTTGAAATGATACTCATTCGTGATTTCCCTTTTGAAGTTTCAGCTAATGGAATCAGGTTTTGTTGTACAATGTGTGAAAGGAGAGCCACAGCTAATTTATGAATATTTTTGCTGTTAGTACATTCTCGTCAGCTATTTTTTGTAATTGTTGTCCTGTACTGAATATTTCATTTTTAATGTGACACTCATTAGTCTTGCAGCGTGTGGTCTCAAAGCGACCATTGGCGCTGAAGTCAAATTTGGGAAAAACAACGTTACGTGTGTTTCCTGGTGAAATTGAAAGATGGTAACTGGGATAGTGATGTTACAGTCACCATCATTGGTCAATAACTCAACTGCTTGCATTTCTCTTAACTTTCCTGGAAATTTTGATTCTGTGGATCCTTCCAAATTTGGATAAATCTTGGCTTCTGTTCTGTTGTTCGATGAATCTTAAAATGGCTGCTACCATGATTTTCTGCCCGAATATAAGGCAGACCACTGGATACATCCATTCCTTCACTTTTATGTTTCCTTGTTTTATTGATTTTGATTTGCGTGGTTTTGATTTTAATTTATTTTACATAAATCCAGCAACATTTCAAAAACACATGCAAATTGACATAGCGACTTCACAGATACCGAATGCATCGATACATATTGATCTTGCTGATAAGAGGGTTTAACTGGTATTAGAAGCATCGTGCATAGCTTGAGACACGTCTTGCGCGGCACAAGAGAAGAGTCCTCCGTTAATCGACAACACTTGAACTTTATCGAAGCCGGTTTCTCCATTCCACTGCCTTTAAAGTCACCTCAAGGAATGACTCCTTGACAGAACTCCGCTCATTGGGTGGTTATCGCACTCAGAGTCAGAGAACTCCTCTCATTCGGTACTTTCCATCCCTCCTACCTTCTCATGATCGTCTATGCTGCTAAAACAAGCCCAGAAGTTGTTTCAAGCATTATTATTTAGTTATTTGATACAACAGTGCTTGTTATCAGGTGTGAAGCTCTATTCTAGACCGCACTTAAACTGGTCCTTCTCGCGAGAATTCATGTTGGATTTGCAGTATGTCACTCTACTGTGCCAGGTCCCCCTCCAAAATGGAAAAAAGTTCAAATTTAACTACCTGCGAGGGCCCAAAGCCTCTAACCCTCAAAGTACTTCACTTTGCTGTGAAACTCGTCGGAAGCGATTCTACTTAAAATGTACTACAGTAGCTGATGTTAATCCCTACGCCTTGTCACAGGCTCGGAAATATGTGCCTATGCCCGGCTGCTTGGGTTGAGAGACACTGACTTGTTCTCTCGCCCGCTTACTGGAACCGTCGGGCTGTTTCTGTTTACGACCCTTCTTCGTCGGTTGCAACGACGAGCCTGCACTCTGACTCTGCCTGGATCGATATATCCCTTCTAAAATGTGCCGCTGTTCTTCAACGTCAACCGTCTCAAGATCAATACCTTCAACAAGATCCTGATGTGGATTACAAAGCGTCGTGACATCGTCATTCGAATCAGCGTGGAGGTGGGAAGCCTCACTCGTCGAAAGACGGAGCTCCTGTTCATCATGTGCAACTGTAGGCAAGGAACAGTCGGAGCCCATGTACTTGAGAGTACCTTTGCGTTTTTCCACAGGTCTTTTGGATGGAGAAACATCCTCGGTCGTTTTAGCTGGCGTTTCACCCATGATGCTTGGCGCTAATTCAGACTCGTTATGTGGAGTTGTAGGTAAAGCTGTATTGGAACCCAGATACTTCAGAATACCTTTGGGCTTTTCTGTAGACTTTTTGGATGGAGAGATGTTCGTACTTTGCCGTGCCATGGATTCATTTTGTTGGTGCGCGGTTGAGCACCCTGTGCTGCTCGTGAAAAAATGATGTATAGACTTTGTCCCCTGCTTAAACGAAGAACAATATTTAGATCCACAAGAAAAGATGATATATAAACTCGGCTCCAAGTCTGTGGCCAGTGCTCTATCATAAACCAAGTGAAGACATTCACATTCATACTGCACCCTACCAATGTTTCCCATGTACATATACAACATATCATAAAACAAGTTGTGGCGGTTCTCAGGAAGGAAGAAGAACAGCATGTTGTTCTACAGACCTGACTAGGGAGCTCCTGGAAACCACTTGCAGCAATAGCTATCCGTGTGCACGGAAACAAATCGTCAATTGATTCAACCACCCGGAAAGATGTATCTTCAAGAACCTTAGCCAAAGCCCTAGTCCTTTCTGAAACCCCACCTTGTGCGCCAACATCTAACACATTATCAGCTGTAGGGTCATCTCTTAACTCACTCAAGTCACCCTGGACCTCAACTTCAGCTTCACCTCCAGCATCTGCTGACAATTCTGCGTCCCCATCTGTGTCCGAGTATGCAGGTGATGTGAGAACTTGCAACACACTTCTGGGCATGGGTGCTGATCTGGAATGATCCGCAGAATTCTTGAACTTTCCAGACCGATAGTAGAGCTGAAACACTTTGGGTTGTCTTTGGTTCATTTCGAAATCGCGACTCATCCTAATTGCAAGGTCGTGGGAGAGTACCGACAGCCATCTCCTGAGATCAGACTCTAGCAGACATTAGCAGGGACTGTAGACAAGCTCGCAGGAATTTAAGATACAATACAAACTCTAATTTTAAGAAACAAGAGAGTATTTATATAGAAAAATACCAGCGTTGATTGGATAAAATGAGGAACCCAGCGTAAGACGGCACAAATTTTCACCTGATGCCCGCTAGTTCATTTATGGCACCAAAGCTTTTAGACGCCAGCATGGACTTCACCAGATCCTTGACTTGCACTGGCAAAAAGACACTAGCACGTTGATGAGTTTGTTATTTCAAATGCATAAGGCCATAGATCATACTAACTTATTATCCTAAAATGTGGCCATAGGAGTACTATCTGGGTATAAGTAAAGCATCCTGACCTTGCTCGGCTTTGAGTCCCTGGACTGCTTTCCATGCATATGTGCCGAGACGGTCGCCAAAGCAAGCCACTAGCGCTGCATGTGGAATCTGCTGAGCCTCGCCAGCTGTTGTGCAGCCCCACTTCTTCGTCATCTCCTGTATTACTTCCAGGATGCTTCCGTTAATGGATGTGACAAAAACTGAAAAAACGATATGGTATTGCAGGTAATTGTGTAAGAGGATGAAAGATAGTTGAAAGGCGATTTGAGATAATGATGCAACAATTTCAAGAATTTCAGGATAATAATTTAAAAAAGAAACAGCGCACCTCGCCAAGCTTGCCACCCAGAAGTTTTATTTTTTTCAACGGAAGGGCCTTCATGAGGCCAGGAACAGCCCTCGGTGGAATCTGCATATCCACGCTCCATACTCAGCCCGAAATAACGTGCAAATTAGCACATCCTATTCGTATGTGAAATCATATCTGTAAACCATGTAAGCTACTCAATGAAATGCTGCTGAATCAGGTGGGTCATATTCCAACATGCACATTGGGGGCTCACGAAAACCAACCAGTGTTTGCCGGTCTGGTTTGTTCTTCGCAGAGGCAATCTTAGCCAGCAGTTTGTTCGAAGCAATGCCCTGACCACGACGGATAAGCCTTACATATATGAATAGCTTTAAATCACAAATTCCTTTTTTTAAATGCCAAAAGGAAATTTTAAAACCAAAATTAGTCCTCATCGTGTGAGAGAATGGGCCTCAAGTACATGACTTATACAGTGGCATTCAACAGAAAATAAAATAAGAATGCATGAAAAGCTGGAATGTCATCTGAAACATAGTTAAAATTACCACAGAAATTGTGTAACCAAGCTCGTTCCGTACAGAAGCTCGCATTCGGTCAGCAATTATACTGCCTGCTAATAACCTGTTCTGTCCAAGAATACGTAGACCTTGTTAGATCCAAACATCTAAAATCGTTGAGATCCCAATGAGACAACTGCTGTGGGCAATGGTGAGAGTCATACCTGCGGTCGTAAGCATTGTAAATAGCTAAAGAACCGCCTTCAATCAGCATGACAGGAACCCCTTTCGAGGTAGTTTCAGATCCAGTTGGCTCAAGAAGCCTGTGCAGCTCGCTTTCCCAATCCATGTCCTTCTCTAGCATTTCCTCAACCTGCCAGAATTCCCCGCCATCGCTGCAAATTAGAGAATCAGGTACAAACTGCTCTAAGTTGAAAAATCACTGTAAGCATTCTCAATGTATATAATAAATGCTAAGTAACGCTTCAAAGAAAACTCTTAGCGAGGATTCACCTGTTCCGATACATCAAGGTAGGCTTCGTCAATACTTGCCCGCTCACATAGCTTGGAATATCGACGGAAGATGTTGAACACTTTAGCTGATGCCTGCACAATGTAACCAGGTAGCACTGGTTGCCTTCAATTTCAACAAAGTGACTGCAAAGAGCAAAGGAAGGGATATGATTAGAAATGATCCCTTCAAGGGTTTATCTAGAACGTGAAATCATACCTGACGGTAGCGCTCGAGCGAAGCTTTAGCATTACCGCGAGGGCCAAGTGATTCTGGAGTGCCGGGTTTATCCCCGCCAATGGTTTCCACGTGTACAAGGTGCAAATCTGGACACTACCATCCCAGTCCTCAATAAGCATACGACTCAGCAAGTATAAATTACGTGCACCAAGTACATCAACCGCATCTAGAATTGATCAGAGATCAGCCCCTAATGCAGCTAATTTGCCCCCGCACTAGTAAGGTTGAAAATTTTGTCCCAACCTAGCCTATAAACTGTGAAAATTGGTGGATACAAAGAGATTCAAAGAACCAAATCCATTTTAATCCTACCAAACAAAAATAACTCACTAATGCAACTTATCAAATCCAAAATTTGGAAAAATGCATGGGGGGAACTAACCTTGCGAAGAGCCTCCGACACTCGCTCATGCCGGACAATGCCTACCGCCCTTGCAGCATAATTAACAGCGATCAGTCCGTCCCACTGTTGCACTGCAAGCGGCTGCTCCGTGGGTATCCCCAGCCTCACTTGCTCTACCTGCACAATACCATCAACACCCTTCATGAAATCTACCCTTCAGAGCAATCTACAGACTCCACCCGCCCACAAAGCAAAAAAAAAATGTATGCAGGTAAAGCACTTACTAATTGCACATGGAGCACGCAAACACAAGATCAATGCCCGATCGGTTTCCTTCGTCAAACTAGCAATTGAATGCACGTAAACATACCCCGTAAAAACCTAATCAGTCAGCGAAGGTTTTGCACTTCAATTAAAAAACCGGCAAGAGAAAAAGTGCGTGATCAAGGTGAGGAATGATTTCAACAAACCGCGGCGTAGAAGCAATCGAGGTCGGCATGTAGCACCACCGACGTGTGCCCGTCTTCATCCATGGCGTCGCTCAAGCTCCACCACGACTCGTCGCTCTACTCTACCCTCCACATCGCACTCATCTCTCGTCTATTCTCTGCAACAGCGTTTCAATGCCGGAATTGCACTCTACTGCTTGATTTCTCACAGTCTCTCGTGGCATCCGCGCACCGAAACTTGCCGTAATTTCTTCAACGCGGGTGAGGAAACACACACACACATACACACACAAACAGGTCGGTCTTGGAAACCACGCAGAAATTCGAATTTTTGAAAAGTGCAAGTGGAAACTGCAAAAAGACCACGGTAGTCTCGTCCGCCCCGCGGTGATAGGGTTACTTGGATAGGACTTGGGTACTCATTGTTACTGTTGCAAAAAGGTTCGACTTGCGCCATTATTGATTATCTTCCTTCATCAATTAGAATAGCATTACCTTACCTTTTCTAATCAATCTTTTAAGTAATACAAAACTATTTCACAATCAAAACATATAATTCTTTTTTTTTTTTTTTTTTTTTTTTTGTTCTAGTTATCTTTTAGATATTGTCACAACTTCTCTTTATGTATTATATTATACAAGATAAAAACTTCTTCTATCTTTTACTAAGAACTATTAGAGATCTTTCATTTATAAGTTATAGTTCATTTTTTTCTTGAATAAAGACAAGGGTCAAAAGTGAGCAAACTTCTTCAACAATTCAATTATAACTCTAAGTTTTGTAAAATAAAAAGGTTAAAAAATAAAATATATTTATATTAATCAAGAAAATAAAATAACAAGATTATTTTGATTTTTTATTTCTTAAGAATATAAAAAAAACTTATCCTCAAAAAATTAATCTTTATATTATACAATAATAATAATAATAATAATAAAAAATATATATACAAAATATTCTTTATATATCAACTGTTTTTATTGTATATTTTAGTTGTTGAATATACATATTCTAAATAGAAATATATATATTTAAAAATATGAATACAAGCATAAAGTTGTATACATTGAATTATTAAAAATATAAATTTAGATAGACTTGTTAAAGACAAAATATTTGTGTATAATTAAGAATACAAAAAAAAAAAAATTATATATTTATATTTATATTTATATTTTTTTAATAAAAAAATAATATTTATACATTCTAGTATACAATTGTTTCTACGTTCCAATGTATAATTGTTTATGTATTCCAATATACAACTGTTTATACATTCTAATATACAACTATTAATGCATTCCAATGTACAACACTATATGCATTCTAATATACAACACTTTATACAATCCAATATACAACACTTTATGTATTCCAATATATAACTGTTCATGCATTCCAATGTACAACACTATATGCATTCTAATATACAACACTTTATACAATCCAATATACAACACTTTATGCATTTCAATGTATAAAACTTTATGCATTCTAATGTACAACTATTTATGTGTTCAAATATATAACTGTTTATGTATTCCAATGTACAATTGTTAACGCATTCTAATATGCAACTATTTATGCATTCCAATATACAACTATTTATGCATTCCAATGTATAATTGTTTATGCATTCCAATGTACAATAATTTCTACATTCTAATATATAAATTTTTATTCATTCCAATATACAACTATTTATGCATTCTAATATATAAAACTTTATGCATTTCAATATACAACACTTTATGCATTTCAATATACAATTATTTATGCATTCCAATATACAACATTTTATGTATTCCAATATATAGCATTTTATGCATTCCAATGTACAACTATTTATGCATTCCAATATACAAATATTTATGATTTCCAATGTACAATTATTTATGCAATCCAATATACAACTATTTATGCATTCCAATATACAACTATTTATGCATTTCAATCTATAACATTTTATGCATTCCAATGTACAACATTTTATGCATTCCAATTTACAACTGTTTATACATTCCAATGTACAATTCTTCATGTATTCCAATATACAACTGTTCATGCATTCCAATATACAACTGTTTATGCATTCCAAGATACTGTCAAGGACAAGAATATGATAAAAATAAATAAACAAGTGAAACTTCTCTCAAAAAAAGATGACAAAATAGAAATAACTTGATATGTATATTAAGAAAGAAATTGGAATGGCTATTACCAAAAACTAAGAAAACTAGAGACCCTTGAAACTAGATTAGAAGCAAGAAAAGAATTGATAAGAGTGAAGAAGGCTTCACTCTTGTCTCTATATATACTATCTAACTAGGGGCTATATGGTGATATTCTATAGGATCTCCAATATGTGTTGACTTTGTAAGACACACGCCTTGACTTACAAGGTAAGTTTTTTTACGTGTGGACCACATAGTTAGCTTGGTCTTCAAGCTAACAACATGTGTGGTACATGGCCAACTTGTTGACCACGTTTCTAATCCAAAAAGTCAATTAAAGACACATATAAAGTCAAAGCAATGTCTATAAAGATTCTAAAAAGCTTCCATAGTAAATATTATAGAACTAACTTACTTTTATTTATTTTTACTTATTTCTACCTATTTATACATGTAATTATTGGATAACATGCATATGTCTATGACATTATCCCACCTTCTAGGAACGAGTTCCACGAGGAATGGTCATCATATGTTGAGAAAATCTATGATACGATGAATTGTATTCGCCACATACTCTGATCTTTGTTCTCTTTGAAGATGATTGATAGGGCCTCTCAACCATCGATAGTGTCCCATATCGGGGCGAGAAGACAATCCAGTTATTTGATCATTGTTAAGGCCTTCATAACTTCCTTCGAATAAAATATTTGAAACATCGTCAAGAGTTGTTCCTACCTCTAGTAAAATCACCAAACATTGGTAGTCCCTTCCAAGATCATGATATTAAATCTATTGTATCTCGCAATCTATTCAAGGAAGAACATGTCGTTCTTGAAGATCTTCATCTCAATTGCATCATCTTAAAGGTTGTGACAATCGTAAAGTCTCGTTCGGCAGGTCAACAAACGAAGGCTCTTGAGTCAAATCTATTGATTGTTGGTTCTCCATCTTCTCAGCATCACAACTACAAAGAAGCTACAAACAAAGATTGAAAGTAGAATGATATCTTGCTTAGATCCTATTTCTTTTATAAAGAAGGTTTTCATCTTAATTTTGATGGATGTCATCAATGAAAAGCCTCCACCGCCTTTGCTGTATTTCTAAGATTCTTTACTCGCTCACATGTGTGTTTACTAATATCATATCTGTACCAATGGACGAGATATTCTAATTTATTTTGGCGCCTCCTTGAATCTAAGACTTCTTCCACTTTAAATTCTTTATTATTGTTCACTTTTATAAGAGGAGGTGGAACTTGTCTTCTTCTTGATATGTCCGCTTTCTTCTATGGTTCAAGAAGAGACATGTAGAATACTGGATGGATTTTCATTGACTCCGGTAGATGTAAACGATATGCAATTGAATTGATTTGTGCAGAAATAGAAAATGGTCCAAGCCTTCGATAGTCCAACTTGTCACAAGGACGAGTCGTCTTGATATTGCGACAAAGAAACCATACCTTATCACCCATGTGGAATGGTGGTTGTTCCTTTTGATAGACATCTCATTGATCTTTTGTTATTTTTGAGCTTCTTTTAATTGCGCCTTCATCGTTGCATGTAACTCTGACAAATGAATTGCCAAATCTTTCGCAGTAGGATTATCAAATTTTGAAAATTCAAAAGTATCAAGTTGTGGATCATGACCATAATTGATAAAAAAAGATGTTTGTTTTATAGAAGAATATACCATATTATTGTAAGCAAACTCTGCCAATCGTAAAAGAGTTGTCCAATCATCTTATTGGTAGTTAATGGTACATCTTAAATACTACTCCAAAACTTGATTAACATGCTTTGTTTGTCCATCAATTTGAGGATGGAATGTCGAAGTTAGTTTTATATCTACTTTTAGAATCTTGAAAAGAATCCGCCAAAATTTGGATACAAATTGAATTCTCCTATCTGATATAATATCTTTGAATAATCTATGATAGCGATAGATATTGTCAAAAAAGAGCTTAGCTATTTCTTCATATGTGATGGATTTTGTACATGGTATAAAATTTTCCATCTTAGAAAAATGATCTACTATCACAAATATAGAGTCATAAGAATCTGAGATTAGAAGATCTGTGATGAAATCCATAGAAAGAAAAGACCATGGTTGTTTTGGAATAGGTAATGGCTGAAGAAGTCTTTAAGGTCAATGACAAGGAGTTTTTGATCTCGAGCAAACATCACAAGATTGTACAAAATTTTTAACTACTTTCTACATTTGGGGCCACCAAAAGTCCCTAGATATTAGTTCCAAAGTTTTATTGTATCCAAAATGTCTTGTTGCTAGAAAGTCATGAGGAGCTTGAAGAACACATAATCAAGCTCATCTTTTGACTGAACTTGCTTAATGAAAGTTGAATCAACAGTTAGTATTGATTTCATTGCTCGAAGATGAAGATGCTCTGGCTTCAAGAGAATTATTAGTTGTTGATCAAAAGCAACATCTCTTTCTTATGGTGCAAGATAAGATTGTCTAGAGAGTGCATCTTACAAATCTTGTTGTATTTCTAGTTGATAAGTGATCTTGAATTCGAATCTTGACAAAGACATACTCCGACGAGCTTGGCGACAATTCAAAATATGTGGTGACATAAAATATTCAAGGTTCTTGTGATCCGTATACACTGTGACTGGGCTAGAAGCACCTTCTAGATAAAGGTGCCATTATTGAAACAAATCCATGATTGCAAGAAGTTCTTTGTCATGGAACTTGTAATTGATCTCGGCTACTGAAAGTTTTCTAGAATGAAAAGCTATTGGATGAAGTTTATCATGTGTTCCTATTTGTGATAATACGACATCCAAAGCAAAGTCTAATGCATTTGTTTCCATAAAAAATGGCTTAGAAAAATTGAAGCAATATAAGATTGCTGCAGAAACAAAGGCTATCTTTAAAGCTTCAAATGCTACTTCAGCTTCTTGATTCCATTGAAGTTTGTCTTAATAAGTCAAACGTGTAAGTGGAGTTTCAACTTGAAAGAAGTCTTTGATGAAGATCCGACAGTAGTTGGCAAATCTCAAAAAGCATTGGACATCTCTAACGGTTTTTGGAATCTTCCAATCTATAATAATTTGAACTTTCTTAAGATCCATCATAAGTCCATCATTTGAAATGATGTATCCTAAAAAGTCGACTTGAG